GGCCCTTCCAAACAAATGCAAAGCACTACTACAATCGATGCTCTCACTCGTGTCTTGGCTTTGGCAAACTGACGTGACACTTTCGAGGGTCGATTCGTTTGAAAGCATCATCGTCTGCCATGACTCTTCAACACACTCTTTTTTTTTGGGTATTTTGCATGCTTATGGTTGTGGCTGTGGAGTATGGATAGACTATAAAAGGGTAAATAAAACGGCAAATCGTTGGCTTTGCTTGAATTTGATATTTTTTCTGCAAACAATTTTTGTTTATGGAGTCTATAGTAATCAATTTAAAAAATATCATAAAAAAATATATACAATCTCAAATACAAATAGTAAAAATAAAAAAATAAATTCTATCACTTTTTTCTTCTTCTATCCACCGCGGTCACCATTCATCCCCTCCCTTCTCTCCTCCCTCTTCCTATCTCTCCCTCCTACTCCTCCTCTCTGTAACTCCTTCTCCCTTCTCCGCTCCTCTCACCCCATCACCCTGCTTCCTTCCCTTTCACGCCAACGCTCCTACTACACTCATCTTTCCTTTCCTACTTTTGGCAATGTTTTAAAAATCGGACCGTTAATTGAACCGGTGACGTGAAAAGATCGAGATTCAACCGGTCGGACCGGTTCAACCTCGGTTCAATGAATTTTTAAAAAAATAATTTATATAAATATTTATGCACAAAATAAGACATGTAATGGACTAATTTAATACATTATATGATGAAAAGTTTACTATTTTTGAATAACTTGATTTTTAAAAATAAAAATTTTAAATTATAAGTTAAAACAAATAAATTTCATTTCAATTTCAATTATATCTACCAAAAAAATCTTAGATCTAACCCAAAAATATCATAATATTTTAAAATTATGCAAAATTCATGTCTATGAGAATTTAGATTTTGTGAACTACAATTTTAATTTAGGTTTTGGGATTTAGAGATTGCAATTTAAAAAAGAAATTTTGGAGTTCGAAAGAAGTCAAGAGAATCGAAAATAGAAATGCAAACTTGATAAGAAATAAAAAATGAGATAAAAGTGAGTGGTTGTGGCATTAAATAATTTAGGTTAAAGAAAAATAATTCTTTTTTAACCTTTTTCAATTTAATGGACAAAAATAAAATTAAAAGATGGAAGAAAACATCAATAAATTAAAAATAAAGTGGTTTGATTAAAAAGAGAGTGACAAAAAAAAGAGGAGAGAGAGAGTGTGTGTGTGTGTGTGTGTTGAAGATTAAAAAGAAAGAGCCATGAGATGATTAGATTTTGTAAAAAAAATGAAAGAAAGAGCCATGAGTTTTTGTTTTATATAAATAAGTTATCAAAACAAAACTAATAAGATGTGATGATGCAATAGTTACTACATTGGTCTTTTATTACAAAGGTCTTGAGTTCGAATTTTGATAGCTGCATTTTGCAAAACGAAAAAAAAAAAAAGGAAAATCTAGAAAACTGGAAACTGCCGGTTCAATCCGGTCCGGCGGTTTCCACGATTTAACCGATTTTTGATCGATTTTCTAACCTGGTCAACTATAGCATAGAATCGGATCGGAGCCATGACCGGTTCGCGGTCCAACCGATCGAACTGATGGGTCCGGTCCGATTTTCAAAACGCTGACTTTTGGTTATGACCAAAAGGTCGCGACCAAAAAGAAGTGGAGGTGGATGTGGGAGAAGGGGAAGGATGATGGGTGGTGGTGTGCTGTGATATTTTTTTTTTTTGTTTTATCCTTAAAAACTATCTCAATAAGATTTTAAAAACACCTCAACAAATAATTGCAATGAAAAATTTTCATATACACATGAAGTCATAAATTAGTCAGACCAAAGTATCAAACCCCATAGGCCACCCAAGTCCATTTATCGCTCCTTAAATAAAGGCCCAATGTTTATGACAACTCATTATTGAAAGCGAAGGCGCGGCACTAGCAACTTAACGGCAAAACATGTCTTCACTGAATTGGATGGAATTTATCTGTTATAGTTTATACACGAAAGTTGAAACTAAATGAACTAAATTTGTCATTTGGTTAATCGTTCTCATCTTTATCGTGATTTTGACCTATTTTTTCACTATTGACATATCTCGTAACAATTCGAGGAAGAGAGTATTATTGATATGCAGTTTCATTAGTATGTTGATGAGCTCACTGAACAAAAATATTGACGTAATCTGATAAAGTTTGAAATGTCTAATCATGCCAATATATGGCATGCGATCCTAAGTCTTAGAAGTTTTAGGTTCTAATTCCCATTTAAAGATGCTAGCGAACAGAGTAAATTTTGATTTCCAGGAGTGATTAGACTATCGATGAGAAGCATTTGACCCAACGGTTAATACAATCAGACAATCGATGTATAATTCATTAAAATTAAAATTCGATCCCCAGATATACGCGTGACTTGATGGTTAATACAATTAGAAGATTGATGATGGATAATCCATTAGGACTCAGTATTGATGAATGGCTATCTAAGGATAAATCGACAGCATTTGCTTTAGAGAATTCTAAAATTTGATATTTACTACATACATACATATACATATATACACGCGCGCGCGCACACATATTCTATAGAGCTTGCTTATTCTCTGTAGTGTTCATTCAGTTGGCACACACACACATATTTATTTTGTATATTATTATTTATCATGTTTTATGCATAATTCTTTGTTGGAAAATGTGAAAATAGTTGTTTGACTCTCTGTTTTTGGAAGAATGTTGGGTCCGTTTGGATTCCTTATTTTTGCCTCTATTTTTGAAAAACTGTTTTTCACATTCCAAATGCTACAGTAAATGTGTATTTAAAAAATAATTTCAAAAATATCATATCCAAACATTATATCAAAAACAACTCCAAAATACATATTTAATATGTATATTTCAATTATGTATATTATATATATATATATATTATATTAATATAAATTAAAATATACAAATTGAAAATTATATATTTATATATTATATAAATATTTATATACATCAATATTATACATAATATTGTATATTATACATAATATGTAATATTGTATACATAATATATTATGTACATTACATTATAATATATACATTATTAATGACCTTTCATTATTATGTACATTATTGTGTATAATAATGTATAATAATGTTATGTATAATACATAATATACATAATATGTAATGATGTATAAATGTATATTATGTATATTATATTATATATATACAATATTATGTATATTATACAAATTAAAATTTTATATTATATATTTATATATTTATATAAATATTTATATAATGAAATATACAATAAATATTACAAATTGAAATATTATATAAACACCATATTTATAACATTATAATATTTATAACACCATATTTAATTATATTATATATATTAAATATTTATTTATTTATTCATATTATAAATATTTTATTTTATTTAAAATACATTTTATATATTTATATAAATATTATATATTATATAAATTATATATTATATATTATATAATATATATTATATATATTATACACTTATATAAATGTACATTTATACATAATATATTTATAATATACATTTATATTATGTATTATATATAATAGAATACATTTATAATACATTAATACATTTATATTAATATACATAATATTAATTTTACATTTATATTAATTATATTAATACATTTATACATAATATTAATATATATTTATAATATATTAATTTATACATTTATGTAATATTCATTTATAATTTATACATTTATAATAATATGCACTTGTACATTTATAAATATATTTATATTATATATTATATATAATATAATACATTTATATATTTTTATATAAATATATAAATATATTTATTTATAAATATTTATAAATGTATTATAAATGCATAAATGTATATTTATATAAATATTTAAAAATTATAAATTATAAATTATAATTTATACATTTATATAATATTCATTTCTAATTTATACATTTATACATTTATAAATATAAATATATTATGTATTATATATAATATAATACATTTATAATATTTTTATATATTTTTATATAAATATGTAAATATATTTATTTATAAATGTATTATAAATGCATAAATGTATATAAATATAAAATATAAAAATTATAAATTATAAAAATACTCAAAAAATATGTTTTAAAAATAACTCTAAAAATAATCCAAAAAAATTTACAGTAAAAGTTTTTAATATAGTTTTTGAAAAACAACCCCAAAAACAACTAATCCAAACAGACTTGTATTTCAAAAACAAAATGCTACAGTGTTGTTTTTGAAAAATAACCCCAAAAACAACTAATCCAAACGGACCAGTTAATTTTATACACTTCACAAAATATTGAATTTCTTTCGTGCAAGTTTTATGGTTCTACCCAAATTTAAAATTTAACGTGTTGCGTTGAGTTAACATGACGCATGTATTGATTTTCGTTTGATAAAAGTTAATTATCTTTTTATGAACCATTCACATAGCGGGTAAAGGATGCCTAAGGGTGCGTTGAAGCTGTAAATTGAACCGGCCCGAATGATTAAGTTGTACTACTCCCTCCGTCCCGTTTTCTTAGTCTTGGTCTTTTTTTCACACAGATTAAGAAAGTGTAATTAATTTGGTTGGAAACATAAATTTAGATTAATAATTTCCTAAAATACCCTTATGCTAATCACGAAGAGTGCTAATTAATATCAGTTACGGCTAATGGGTAGTATTGGAAAAACTCAATGTATTCAATGTAGTGGGTTAGTAGTTAATAACAGTATATTAATAACAAGATATTTAATAAGGATATTTTAGACAATTTGAAAGATTACTACATTTCTTAATGGGAGAGTGGATTACAATTTGGGACGGACGGAAAAGGAAAACAAGACTAACAAAGTGGGACGGAGGGAGTAATTGGTATATTGGAAAGTGGGGCATTTTGGGAAAAGAGAGAGAGAGAGAGCGTTTCGTGCGCAGGAGCGAGCAAAAGAAATGGCAAACAATAGCGTTAATGAACTGAAATTCGCAAATTAGGATGTTGAGTCATCAGTCGTCGGAAATACAAAAGCGATGATAATCGAGTGGTCGTAATTGGTATTCACTATTCATCCCGGAATAGCTATAGGAACTAAAGTTTAACTACCCCGTAAAATAGTTCCCGCGGCCGCAGGGTGAAGGGAAGAAATCTTTTCGCCGGAGCTTAGCTGTCAAGAGCGTTTTGAAATGGGCAGTAACGGAGCACATATTTGCATAGAAAAAGGAAAAGGGGCATCACTAACAATTAGTTACAGATCTCAAACCACCTCATCATCCCATCTGCGGATGATGCCCAGGAAATAGAGAGATTTAAAATTGCTATAAAGGAAATAAAGACAAGTCAACTAGGGAGCATTGTCCTGGAGCGGGGATGGAGGTGGATCTCCGGCGGGGCGGCGGCGGGGGCGGCGAGAGCGCATCTGGTGAGATTGGTCTTGGGCGGCAGCAATAGAGATCTACAGAGCGGGCAAGTAACCTGACCGGAATCGACCCATGTATCCAGGCAATCTCTGTGGAAGACATGGGTGCACCTGGAAAGCTGCCTCACCTGGTGCTTCAAATCTACGGGGTCTAGGCAGATGGTGCACATCTTCTGCGGAACCATATCATCACCACCTTTTCTGTCCCCGTCGGGTGAGGGTGAGGGTGATGGCGATGGTGATGATGAGGCTGACGATTCCGTTTCTTCCTCTGCTTCTGGCTCTCGCACTTGTTGTAAAAGCAGAAAATCTTGAAATTGGAGTACAGGCACTTTAGTCTTGATGGCAGCGGCGACGACATGAACGGGAATGGGGACGAGGGATGGGCAGGTGCCCTCATCGAAAATGAAGATGTAATTGTTGGAATCGTCGGCGGAATGATGTTGGTGGTCAGGGGGTGGTTTGTAGATTCCCAGATGGGCGAGTGCTCCCATGGCCAACAACTTGAGATGGGTCCATAGGTTTAGAATGAATGGTCCTCCAGTCAGGGCTGTCGGTAATCTGATGATGTGGAAGAGGAAACCCATGGCTAACGAGTAACGACCCGGGGGCTTGGGGGGGGGGCAGGGAATTATACCACTCGTAGTAATCCAGTGGAGTTATGTTTGAGGTGGGACGCTGGAAAAAATGGGGTTTCCTTTTATCATTTCTGGGTTGGGGGAGAAGTGAGAAGAGCGTCGAGAGCAAAACAATTGCCACCGTGCGGGTGAGTGTGTGTGAGTTTAATATGCTCCAGTTATTGTTCCAAGCTCCACTAAATGCAGCAAGTAATAGCAGCAGCGATAAGGAAGACAATTAATTACTGTATTAGTTATTTCACTTATTTGTGTGTGTGTAAATATATATATATATATATATATATATATATATATATGTATAGATTATTTGGTTGGGCCATCTATCTATCTATCTATCTATCCCGGTCGTTTTGCGGCCAAATGGAAATGAACTCATTTTGTAGATTCATCTTCGTCCCCTTTCCGAAACAAACAAATTGATTCACTAATTAATATTTGGTTTTTTCGCCAAATTAGGGAGTGATTAATACTACCAACATATATTTCAATAAGACAAGCAGTTATCACACCATTTTTTAAGAATTAAGTGTGTGATGTGATAAAATTTATACCACAGAATTACCCATGCGTATGATCAGATCTACCCATGCGTTTAGCTTGCTTGCAATATCGACAGCCGCAAGCTGAAAGGGACACCCAATCCAAGAATCCAGGGGAAGGGGCCTTCCTCTCCCGTCTTCTGGTCTAGAACTAGAGTCCCACCACCCACCACCCATCATCTATTATATAGCTTACGGCGTCCCACACTTCCCACTTGACGATACAATCGAAACAGAGCAAGCCGGAGCCCCACCTCTACGCCCTTTTCTTTTAATGGAGTATTTTTTTTTTTTTTAATTCCCATGTTTGTAGTGGTCGTCTTCCAGGTCTCAACCAAACTCTTTTTTTTTTTTTTTTCTCCTGAGCTTTAGTCTCAACCAAAGTCAAGACGATTTTATGACTACCCTTTGCACTTCGCAGACATACGGATACGGTATGGCATACCCCCTCATTATTGTCTCCAACTGACTGGTCTTGGGGCCTAAGAGCAAAATTCAGAGCAAAAGGAGAAACAAAAGGACCCTTAAAGAAACTCAACATACTAATAAAATGTTTCTCAAGCTCCATTAAAATCATGGAACAGTAGAGGTTTCCGTTTTAGATATTTAATCTTTGAGATGCCCTCAAATTTAATTAGTAAAACATTAACAATAGAATTGAAAAGAAACTCAAGTCGTAAGACCTTTCTTTATATTATTCACATTGGATTCAAAATGGATCCATATCTGGCCTATTTTTAAGACACCTTAATGGATCTTTAGGTAAACATCATGTTTATGTACACAACATATTTGTGTTTATCTTTTAAGCATCTCTTGATTTTCATTTTTTTTTTTTTTTTTTAAGGTGAAGTCATGTGCAAAATCCAATTTGCTAACAATCCTAAATATGGAAATGATAAGGATTTATTCCCTGTCGTTCTCAACCTGTGACTTGTGTTTCAAAGTGATTAAATGAATTTCACCAGCATCCGTTTTACTCTCCATCAATTTTGATGAATTACGGCTGCATCCCACATTTTTTAATCCAACGCACAAAGGAGATTGTTTTGGATATTTTTAAACAAGACTCACACTTAAATAAATAAACCTGATTTGCAAAGATTTAATAATTTAAATTTTTGCGTCACAACATTTTTTCGAATGATATGACACAATCCGGATAATTGGATCTTTAAATCGGGTCTACCCAAAGTTTGCTTTTGACCAATAGTTTCATGACCTTAGTCTAACCACCATGGGCCGTAAACGACGTCGGCAGATGGCGGAGCATCAGCCCGTGTAACGGATGTTATCCACAACAACTCTCTGTCCCCGTCTCTCTCTCTCAGTTGCAGTTCCGAGGGTGTTTGCCCAATCAAATCAGCCATCATAGTTTTCTCCTTCCAGACATCCCTCTTCCTCTCCTGTTGCCGTTGAAGTTGTAACGAGATCTTTTCCTGCCTCCTGCTTGCTTCCACTTCTGTTTGGAAATAATACGATCAGGAAATCCGTGAAAATGGCCTCTTCTGCTATTGTGTCACGCACTGGTACAACTTATTCTAGTCCTCTGAGTAGTCTTGCTTCACAGAATAAGCCAAGAAACCTCTCAGCATTCCCATCTTCTCTCAGTTTGTCCTCAAACCATAACATCTCTAATTTCCCTCTCCAATTTCATGCCAACGGACAACCCTTTACCAAGCCATCTTCTTCAACTGCTACTAGGCCTCTCACAGTAATTTCCATGGCTCCGCCAAAGCCAGGCGGTAAACCCAAGAAAGGTATTCCCTTTTGATTCTATTACTCCACTATTTGCTTAAGTTTCCTCTCTTTTCATTTTACTCTCCAAATTTCTCGACTTTTTTGGGTTTGTTTTTTGTTTTTTATAATGGCTACAATCATATTGGGGTGCTTGCTGCAGTGACTGGGGTTATTAAGCTGGCTCTGGAGGCAGGGAAGGCCACCCCATCTCCTCCAGTGGGGCCTGCTCTTGGTTCTAAGGGCGTCAACATTATGGCCTTCTGCAAGGATTACAATGCCAGGACTGCCGATAAAGCTGGTTTTGTTATCCCAGTTGAGATAACCGTCTATGATGTCAGTCCCCTCCTTCCATCTAAATCCAACTGCTTTCTGTTTCATTTTCGAAGTAGTACCATAAGGTTTCATTTGTGATTGGATTGGAGGGTGGTGTCTATCTTGTTGTCTTTTAGTCTAGAGTTGCTTTTCTTTTTCCTTTTTATTTTTCTTTTCGTCGTCCTCTTTGCTTAATTTTATGATCCTTTGCAGGATAAAAGCTTCACTTTCATCTTGAAGACTCCTCCTGCTTCAGTTTTGCTATTGAAGGCTGCTGGTATTTCACTTTTTCCTGCTTTCATGTCCACTCGCACATTTCACTTTTTCCTGCTTTCATGTCCACTCGCACATTCGCACACTCGCACATTCCCTTTTTTTCTTAATGAATAATTTTTTCTTCTCCTTGAATGTATATTGCTACTATTTTTGTGAAGAGACCACGCACTTCTGAAAGACAAATTGCTGCGCCTCTGGCATTTTCTTGTCTTGCTGGCTGAAATTTGGCTTCAAGCTTTGCATAAGGAACCTTACAGATTTAGCTATTATTGGCTTCTATTTTGTGTATTTTAGCTGTTATTGGCTTCTAATTTGCGTAATTATCTCCTTTTGAGATGATAAACGCATTACAATGCTTTCCTTTTTGAGGGACAGATTCAACTTTACTCATCTCTACTTTAGAGCTTAGGAACTAACCAATGATGACTTTTATTCCTTCTTAGCTGTCTGCATGGTTTACTGGAAGCATTTGTGGTAAGGGATAATTTAGTCTTGAATGAGAACTCATGTTCTCGGCAAGGATCTTTGGCCTTTCTTGTTTTCTCCCCTTCTGAAGATGTTTTATATGCGAGTCTCAACCCAAGGAATTAAGGGCATGGGAAACAGAAAAAGGCAAAAGGAGGATATACTTAAGCTGAGGAAAAGAAACATAAGAATGATATGTTGTAAAATTATCTGGCATTTTAGGATACGTAATGTCAATGGATGGACCATATTCTGCTCATTATTCTGAACTTTCCTGACTGCTACTAGTAGGCTGTTCTAAGGTGGAGAAAGTATAGATTATGATTATTCCCATCAATTTTACTATGCCTTTGGTAACTTTCAGTTCTCTCTCTGAGAGAATAATCCTCAAAATGTGCTTGTATTGTGCTCAATAAGAGTTAGTAGATTGAGAAACTGTGAAGACAAGTATGATGTTGATTTAGTTCACTTTTCTAGGTTGCTGAGTGTAATAAATGGAGCTGACAGGCTTTGTAAGGATGATTTCTGTGCACTTACAAAAAAGGCTTGTAGATGTTTGGCAGCTGAGCTTTATTGAATAATCACATGACAATCGTCGTGCAGTGAAATAAATGGTATTGAACCTAAAAATAAAATAAAATGGAAGCAGTCTGAAATAGGTTTGTCGTACATGACAAAAAAATACAAGAGTTTTTGTCTGTGCGTTATTTTGTTAGTCTCAAGCTTACATTGACATTGTTCCTACAGCTGAAGAATCATAAACGGCACAAGGGTATGACAGAATCATGCATCATATAAAAAAAAAGTACTTTTTAAGTTTTCATGTATTATTGACAGAATCATGCATCATTGACAGATTTTACAAGGGTATAACGGATTGGATGAACGTAAATTGGGATGTACAATAACGGCAGTGGCTCATTAAAATCTTTCAATTTAATATCTATATACTTGGTGAAACTGTCTAGACGAGTTTGAGATTTTCATAAAATTGTTTTCTCCATTTCTTCTTGGCTTGGGTGCTGTTTCTCAGATTGGATGTTAGGCTGTGCGTCTGACAACAAGAAAGAGAAGGAAGGAAGGAGGGGGGGGGGAGGGGAGAAGTTGGTAAATGGTGATTTTTTAACTGGATCTGACACTTTTAGTTACGCTGTGACTATATGTTTTGGTTGTATAGTATGCTTTTGACCTTTTCAATCTGTTTTCTGGCATACAAGAGGTATGAGCTACCAAAGTTTGATTATTATTATTATTATTATTGTAAACTGATTATGTAGGAGCGGATAAAGGTTCCAAAGACCCAAAGCGAGAGAAAGTGGGGAAGGTCACTATTGATCAATTGAGGAGCATTGCTCAAGAGAAATTGCCAGACCTGAATTGTTCAACTATTGAATCAGCAATGAGAATTATTGCAGGCACTGCTGCTAATATGGGAATTGATGTTGACCCTCCAGTTCTTGAGCCAAAAAAGAAAGAATTAGTGTAGTGTTGGTTACTTGGTGCATTTCCTTATAGTTTCCTTTGTTTCATATTTGTGCCAGGTCGGTATACTGTTTGCTTTGTCGATCATTTCAAATTTTGAACGTGTTAGACCTCTATATTAAGTTTGAACATTTTTGGAGGCGTTTGGAAGAAAGACAAATTACTTTATGAGGAATTGTCTTTGTCTGCAGTTTTGGCCCTTGGACTCTGTAGTTGGAGTTACAAGAGATGTTAGTTATCAAGTAGACTGAATGCTGGAAGATGGAAAAAGCCTCCAATTTGCAGTGCTGCAGCAAGGTTATGGCCATGCAGGACGACTGAAGCATATTTAGATCCATTTGATCTTATCAAGCACGAAACCTTTCCCATCTCCCCTTCTTGGTAGGTGATCCTGTACCAGCACTTTCTGGTGCA